CCATTTAGGGATCTGGGGCAGAAATTGGGGCTTGGCCCTGCTTTGAGAAAGGGGTTGGACTAGATGACCTCCTGAAGTCCATTCCAACCCTGATATTCTATGATTCTTAAGGAACCAGAATTTACCAATGTTCATTGCCAAAGAGCCACAGTAATAAGTCAACAGCCCCCCATTAGCTCTTCTCTCTTTCCCCCCCCCCACCCGCTCCCAGTGCCTCTTGCCCACTGGCACCTCCCCGCAAGTCCCGATCAGCTGTTTCGTGGCATGCAGGAGGCTCTGAAGGGGGAGAAGTGAGGGCACGGCAGGAGGAGGGAAGGGGTAGAGTGGGGGCAGGACCTGTGGCAGAGCTGGGGTTGAGCAGTGAGCACCCCCCGGCACATTGGGAAAATTTGGAGCGTGTAGCTCCAGCCCCGGAGTCAGGGCCTGTACAAGGAGCCGCCCGTAGTAACTTCTGAAGAGCCGCGTGTGGCTCCGGAGCCCCAGGCTGGCCACCCCTGTTGTGTATCCGGCAGGAGCACTTGTACGTGGGCCCTCATACCAGTATGCTGCTGCCTCCTTCAGAACTTTTGGCCCATTTGTTTGCAGTGAGAAGTGTCTAGAGACAATGACTGAATTATTCACTTCTACCTGCTCTACAGCTGTGGGGGTTAAGAGGTGGAAGTCGTGTGAGAGGAGAGGGGCTAGTGAAAATAATTTAGTCCCAGATCAAATTAATTGGAGGATCAAAGTAGCCCGATTGAAGTGAGCATTGAAGTCTCTTTATTATTCAAATAGACACCTGCTAGCCACGTTGCAAATACACTGGCTTATAAAAGGCCACATGCACCAGACGATATTAACCTTACCCTCCCATCCACTGGTACACATACACTCTGGGGGAAGTGCAGAATGGCGCACAGAAGTTGAAGGCTGCTGCTAAGCTTTGATCCAGGAGTGTCCACTCTTCTTGGCCTGCGGGCCACCTTGTCCTGTTGGAATCAATACTTATGTGGCAGATTCTCTGCCCCGTTCTGCTCCCTTTGTGCCACCCAGGCTGAGGAGCAGCAGGGAAGGGAGAGAAGCCCCTCGGAGCACTCCTGGCTGACATCAGAGCTGTGGACTGTGTCCTCCTTTTAGCGACGAGTGTGGTTCGGACACTTCTGTTGGGGGGGGCTCTTGGAACCCAGGCTGCATGATCAAACAGCAGCGATGTTCTTAGCACAGTTGCCCAGGAGGGCCCCAGGGTGGATGCCATGATCCTAGCCCACCCTTTTGGCAGAACACTTAACACAGGAGTGGAGCATCGTGCCTGGAGCCCTGAATTCCCCGTGTCCCTGAAGATTTATTGCACTAATCTGTGTTCGTGGCGCCTACCGGCGCCCGTGGGGATTAGGATTCCACTGTGCTGGGTGCCAACCATGCAAATAGTGAGAGAGCCCCTGCCCCGAAGCTCTTCCTGTGTCATAGCAGCGGGATTTGGGTACAGAGAAGGGAAGCAACTTGCCCAAGTCCACGTTGGGGGGTCTGTGGCAGACGCTGGAATTGGACCCTGATCTCCTGAATTCCCAGTTCAGGACTTTCAGCGCAAGGTGACTCTTCTTCTGCTTTAGTGAGTTGCCGTAGGCAGCGGTTCTCTCTCTCTCTCTGGCCTCTGCAGGCAGCGCTGAAGCAGCTCCCGAAGAACAAGGTCCCCAGCATGGCGGTGGTGATCAAGTCACTGACCCGCACCAGCGTGGACGCCGGCGCCGTGTTCAAGGATCCTACTGGTAAGGACGGAGGTGAACCCTTCGGGGTGAGGGTCGCTGGGGCAGGTGAGCAGGGCTGTGGACCAGCAAAGGAACTATAACCAACAGCTAATAGCTGGCTGTCCTCCTCGTACAAAGGTCTAGTTTCCCATCCAAAAAGATATCTCGTGCCTGCCCGTTGGCTTTCCTCGGGGTCTCCCTCGGTCTGTTCTGCCACCGTCGCCCTGGGTTTCACCTGCTCTTCTGAACCATGCAGATGAGGCACATCCTGTTCTCCTGGTCAATGGCCCATCAGCTCTGTAGCCTGCCTCTAGCCGTGGCCTGTGTGGTGCAGAACACACACAGATAGGATTGTGTCGTTCTGTATGTAGGTGGGTTTGCGTCCTTTCCGACTCCTGCAGCAATCGGCTGCTGCCCCTCAAGCATGGGACTTGCTGCTCCCCGTTGTTCCAGTGAGCCATCCACTCTCTAACTCTGGCCTCCTGTTAGCTGTGAACTCTCACAGGCCTCTCCACGCTGCCTGGAGGAGGATTCGCTCATCGGAGATGGACGTGATCAGCTAGGTCCCATCTCCCAGGGGCCAGTACAGGATTGATCCTGGCAGTGTGTCCTCAAGTGGGCTCCTCCTTTGTAAGAGCCAGGAAGCTGGGATGGAAATGGCAAGATGAGGCGCATTGAATAAGTAACACTCCAGCTTGCCCCCTTGTCCTGATTCCCTCCCCGTCCCAGGTGGCTTGTCAGCACTCCCTCTTGGCTATGTCCTCGCAGGCAGATTTGCCCCATGCATAATGGCGCAAAGCACTGTGGCAGCCTGCTTGGCTTTGGTCTGACTGTACCTGCCCCATGTTGCTGACGAGTTCTCTCTGTCCTGCCTGCAGGAGAGATGCAGGGGACAGTGCACCGCCTGCTGCTGGAGGAGAGACCGAGTGACCTGAAGGCCGGTTCAGTGCTTCTCTTAAAGCAGGTACCTGAGGCAAAGGAGAGTAGGGCCAGGGTTTTGTACTGAAGGACTCTTAGGTGGGTATGTTTTGTTCCTGGAGGTAGATCCCAATGGCAACAGGGATGCTTTTAGGGCTCCAGTTCTGGGGTGTGTGGATTTAATAAGGGGCATGCAGATTCATCTGCCACTAGTCATTGATTTGCATCCAGCTCCAGATGTCTCTTACTGCTTCCATTCTCTGAGATGAATGGGATAAGAAGGGAGAGCTCGTTCATCCTCAAATAAAATCCTTCTGTAGGCAATGACCAGTTGGCACAGATTGTGTCCCCGTCCCCGTCCCCCTCTCCCAGGTAGCTGGCTGTCCTCAGAGGCCAGTGACTGAACGGGCCATAGAGTCTGAACTCACCTGGCTGCCCCAAGAGGGTGGGGAAGCCTATTAATCTATCCCACGCTGCCCCAGTTTAGGATTTGGGCCATTGGTCTCCAGCACTGCCAATCATCTGTCAGAGGCTGGTGAAGACTGCGAAGCACGATGGAGGTGCTGATTCTTCTTCCAATGGCATCTGCCCATTCCCTCTCGTGGGGAGCGCTGCTGGGAACAGGCAGAGGCCAGAGAACTCTGGGTCCAGGCGAATAGCCTTTCCCTCTGGTTGCAGGTGGGGGTGTTCTCCCCGTCCCACCGCAATCACTACCTCAACGTGACCCCCAACAACCTGGTGAAGATTTACCTGCCAGAGTCCGGGGACAGGAGCCCCCTGCAGCCGTCGCAGGAGCATGGGGAGATGGGAGACGGGACAGTACCAGTGTCCTCAGAGGTACGATTCAACGCAGAGCAGAGAGCTGTGCTAGATGGCAGGTGGGGGCATCTCCTGTGTGTGTTGGACTCGGAAGGAACCAATGTCCGGTCCTTGCAGGGGCGTATTTGGAAGGTAGCTGGTGAACTAAGGAGATTCCACAGGGGAATATGTACTGACATGGGAGACCTCAGGAAATGAGGGTCTGACACTGAGAGCTAACAAAGGGAAAGCCCAGAGCATCTCACTTGTGTCTGGCTTTTTGTAGGTCCATAGCCCGGCTGAATTCCAGCAGGACTCCCCAGAAAATCTCTCCGGGGGGGCTTCCAACCCCAGGAGCACAGGGAGTTCCAGGAGGGATGGAAACAGCAGCTGGCGTACAAACCCATCACTTGGAGGGTTATTGCCATGCCTAGGGAGGCATGGAGACGGCACATCGGGCTCAAACAGACCTTCCCAAGAGGAGCCCCTGGGGGCTGAAGCCTGTGACATGGGTAAGGCAGATTTTGCTGCAGATGTTATGGGCCAGGTTCCCCAAAGAGCTCCGCTTGTGGTGGAAGCTGAGCTCTCCTGAAAACATGGTTCCAGTGGCGGGGGCCGGGCACTCGAATCTGGCCCACCCACCAACGAGGCCAGACGCCTTCCACTGGTGCCATCACACGAGGGCCATGGCTGCCATCTGTAGGAAATCCCAGGAGAAAGTGGAAGACGCGATGGCTCTTTCCCCTAATGTCATCTTTTATTTTTCCCTTTCCCATATGTGTTTAATCTTTCATAGAAGTGGGCCCATACATTGGGAAGTGTAACTCCTGGGGTGAAAGGGTTAATCCCCCAGTGACAGGGACTGGATGCCCCTGGGGATGAAATGGGAAACTTTAAGAAGTGGAGGAAGAAATGGACTTGAGCCCCTCTTCTTCTGTCTGTGCAGACGACCTGGATGGGCTCCTAGGACAGCTGCCAGAGGACTTCTTTTCTGCTTCTGCCATGGAGAGCAGCCAGTGACCCCCTCTAGAGCTATGACATGAAGATCCCCCAGCCAGCACGGAGCTGGATGGTCACTCAGCCAGCGGCAGAACGTGGGCTGAATCCTGGCAGAGCAAGGACTCTGAACAGCGAGGTGACTCGTGTGCCTTAAGTATCCTGTATACATTTATGAATGGTAAGTTTGTTGTGCGTCTGGGAGCTGTGACGACAGGACCGTGCTGACGGATAGTCTGGGACTCCCGAACCGAACAGGGACGACGCTGGCAGCCCTGACGTGAAATGATTCCTGCCTTGCTACCTCTGGGCTCTTCCACCAGCACCCTGGCACTCTTTGCTTGGTGCCCTTGACTGATCACGACCCGCAAGTGACAGCTTTCCCTGCTTGTATCTGATTCCTGCATTAAATGGGTGTTCGGTACCTTTCACGTGTGATGCTCTTCCTTCCGCTGTCCTGCTTTCCACCCCTTTGGTTTTATGCAAAGCCAGCCTGTCTCCTAGCCAGGAGAGCATGGTGCTGTGGGGGGAGCATTGGAGGCTTCTGTTAACTGGAGCATGTCTTCTTTAAAGCATTAACTGAAGCTGGCTGGGCTCCTTCTGGGAGTGAAGGAATCCCAGGCCATGCTCCTGCAACCTGTCCATTGACCTCACTGGGGAAAGACACGTGCAAGGACTGCGTGATCCAGCCCATAACAGGACTGGAGCTGCAGATGAGGACAACGGAGTTCTTGATATTGAAGCTGGATCCTCCCTGCTGTTGAGCAACTGCAACTCCCAGCACTGAGAAGCAAAGGAGCTCCAGGATTGAGTCCACTGCTTCCCACAGACAAAGGCTTTTATCAGATGCACCTGTGTGAGCATCGTTCTCCACTGGGCATTGGGATGGCAGCCAGGCCTGCCGGAATCCCTGTGCCGTGCTTGAGATAGTGACCGCGTCACTCGCCCCATGTCCTGAGTGCCAAGGCCAAGCTTTTACCCTCTGCTCCCCTCTCTTCCTGGCACCCTGCTGATCTGACCGCTCTGTTCTTCTTCTGTGACCTCTTCCCAGGCCCTGGTCTTAAGGGGATGCCGGCGGGTTGTGTTTTTAAAAAAAAAAAAAAAAAAAAAAATCAAATCAAAGACCTGTTAAAAGCAGCCCAGGGCTGGCATGATTCAGTGCCAGCACCCATGAAGAGAAGGCCATGCAACAGGGAGACTCCCGCATGTGGCTGGAGGGAAGTGCCCGGTGTGCTAATGTTGCCTCAAGCAGGTTACTTATTTTTGTTTTGTTCCCCTCGGTCTATTTAAAAACTGCTCTTGAATTGCCAACACCATCAGTCATCAATGATGCCAGTGAAAACGTGGCTTGTGATTTAACTCTCTAATCTGTAGACTGGGGGGGTTTCCGTTCCTCCCACTCTTGCTCACTCTTCACTTGTGGACTGGAATTGAAAGGGCTTAAGGAAATACTTCACAATGTCCCTGGTTCCCTCTGTAGAGAGGTGACCTGCTTCCCCCTCGCAGGTGTCTATGATCGAGGCTACAAATTCTCCGGCCCGAGGGTTGTGTTCTGCACTGCCTTTTATTCTGAATTTGGCCTGGGGGTGGCTGTACAACTAGGAGAAGGAGCAGTTCCTGGCCCCGGAGAGCTGATCCTGAGAAGGGTCGACCACCTACGACTGCTCTTTGTTGGCACCTCTCAGAATTGAGCCCTGAGTCAGACAAGGTAATGGCTTAAATGCAAGGCCACGTGGTGACCTGACAGCAGGTGCCTGAGGGCCGCAGTGTGGCCATGCGAGGAAAGGGAGGCGGCGTGACACTACACCATTCAGCCTGGAGCAGGGCACTGAATGTCACCACTCTTCCTCCCCCCCCACCCTTGTGGACTCAGCCCCACTGCTCTGCGGGGGGTGTACGGGGACAACCCCGCTTCCCACTCGGGCTGCATGTCTGACCAGAAAGTCTCCCTGGGCTGCTGTAGGCTTGTTCTATCCCCAGACTGCTTAAACTCCTGCCATCCAGCAACAGGCTACTGGCTCTAAACGCCACCGGCCCCAGATGGAACATGACCCTGCAGAAACTTCTGCTTACTGCCAGAGTAAGTATCCCCGCTATTTATAGCACGGCCTGGCTTTCTCTTCTGAATCAACAAGGGGAGGGGTTTTCTGCTCATACCCATATTCGCAAGCGTGAGGGAGGTGGCAGGGGGCACTAATCTGCCTGTCCCAGAGGCAAGAAGGCTGCCCTGGCTAAGCCCCGTCCCGCGGAGCCAAGAGAATGTCTAGGGAGACCTTCGCGTTCACTTCCTCCACCCTGCGCGCCCTGCGCCTACAGAGAGAGCGGCTGGAGTGGGAGGATCGTCGGAGGGCTCTCTCAAGGCAATGCCTGACCAGGAGGTTCCCACCGGCCACCAGCAGCTCCCTGCTCCCCAAGCCCGCCCGGCGTCCCCAATACTGCCGGGACCCTGCTGTCCACAACATCCTGTACACTGGGGACTTGCAGACTATCAAGAGCATCTTCAAAGACGAGGCTGTCGCGAACGTGATCGTGGAGATGGTCAGCGAGGAGCTGATGTGGGCGGCAGAGCTGGGTACGGAGGTGGGGTTTCTGCTCTGGGCTTGTGGTTGGAACAAACCCAGGGCTGAGTACTGCTTTCCTGTCCCCCACTGCCCTAGTTAAATGATTTCCCCACACCCCTCGAACAGAGCCAGAGATCTTGTGCTCCCAAGGATGTGTCGGTTCTTGGGGCTTTGCTCCAAGTGCGGCAAAAAGGAGCCAAGCAGAGTTCAGCGAAAGCCCCTGGGGTTTCCTGGGTTCTTTGCTCATTCCTGAGCACGTGACTTCCACTGGAGAGCAGGGGATGGGCAGCAGGAGTCCTGGGTTCTAGTCCCATCTCTGCCACTTAGTTGCTGTGCAGTTGTTCATTTATTTGTATTACAGTAGCAGCTGCAATGTAGGTCTGTGGGCGCTAGGTGCTGTACATACATGTAGTCAAGAGTAGCTCCTTGTCCTGGAAAGTCTGCAGGCTAAATAGCCAAGGCACGTAAGTGGTGGGAGGGGAAAAACAGGGGCAGAGAGTTGGCAAAGATGCCCTGGCAGGGCAGCTTCCCTGCCAGGAACAGAGCTCTGGTTCCCTGACGCCCTGGCCCCTAAACCCCATTGCTTCTTGGATCTTGAGCAAGTTGCTCTGGTTCTCTCTGCCGTCTCCCCCTGCCTCGCTGTGACTCTGAGATCATGTGTGTGCTCAGCCCTCTGCAGGGGCAGGATCCCACAGAGGAATTCCAGGAAGTCCGGGGGGGTGGATTATGGTCAGAGTCGAGGTTGGCGGTCTCGATTTAATGACCATGAGTGGAACCCCAGGGCAGGGCGCTTTGAGATTCCCCTGCTCTCCTTCCCACCTGCCCCCCCTCAGGGTTGTGGGTGCTGAGCCCTCAGAAGAAGCACACCTCCCCCTTGCGGATCGCGGCGGCCAGAGGCTACCGGGACTGCGTGAAGCACCTGATTCTGCAAGGGGCAGAGGTCGACGCCGTGGTGGGCGGGAAGGCCGCCCTCCATGACAGCTGCATCCACCAACATGCTGACTGTGCCCAGCTGCTCCTGAGCTATGGTGCCAATGCCAACGTGCTGTCGGAGGAGGGGCTGGCCCCGCTGCATCTCTGCACCTCCCCGGAGACCTTGCGGTAAGTGTGCAGGTAGGGGTGGGGGAAGTATGTCTTGAAGGGGAATTTCTACCCTAACCAGCAGAGATCTATAGGGCAGGCAGGTCAATGACTTGCAAACTAGCTGGACTTTGGGAGGGGGGAAATGGCACTCCCCCAAGTTCTGCCCACAGGCAGAGATCCACCCACACTGGAGAAGCCAACACAAGGCTCCACCTTAGATCGTCACGCTATGCCTAGCTTAGATCAGTAGCAGAAGAGGTAAGTGATCTCATTTCACCGGTTGTCACTAGTCTTCAGAGTCAACGAGATGGGTCGCACCTCCCTGAGCTATTGTTTCAGGCAGTCTGCAGACATTGCTGCCTCGGTTCCTATTTTGACCATTCTATTCCCAATGGTCAGGGCTAGAGGTGTGGGGCCAAAAGTCTAGTGATGACATGACCCCATGACATGGGCACCTCTGGTTTTGGGTGGTCTCTTTGAGCTGCCCTTGAGGGGCCTGGCTTCCAGACCGTGCCCTCTGAAAATCCGCTCTCTGCCAGGTGTCCGTTGGAAACCCCCCCAGAGTCACTTGTGACTTCTGAAAATCTTGGCCTTGTTTGTTTTTAAATGAAAGCGGAGATTGCGGTGCGTGAGTTGCAGCCTCCAGGGAAAAGCAGCTGTTCAGCCAAGCAGCACATGCCAGCCTGACTCCCCCTCTGATCCCAGCTGGCCCCCTTGGCCAGCAGCCTTGCAGAGAAGCTGAGGGCTGTATGGGCCACAGCGAGCGAATGTCCCCTAGGAGAGCTCCTTCTGGCGCAGGATGGAGGCACGTGGTGTGAACGGTAGCCCCAGGGAATCTGTCTGCTGCTCCCCCGGCCCTGCGGATGCTGGATCTCCAGAGCCCTCTGACTAGGGTGACCAGACAGCAAGTGTGAAAAATTGGGACAGGGGGTGGGGGATAATAGGAGCCTATTTCAGAAAAAGACCCCCAAAGCAGGACATCTGGTCACCCTACCTCTGACACTGGCCCTGTGAGCAGCCAGTGGGGCTGGTGTGGCGGCACAAGACACTCCAGTCCCCGCCTGATGGGCGAGGGGGTGGTCATGAGGAAGGCTTGTGCTCCCAGCCAGCAAGATCGATCCAAGCACATCAGGGGCCCCGCTGCCGAGCCTGTGATTGCCAGGTCCAGGCATGCCCCGAATCTCTGTGCCCTGCGAGCCGCAGCCCCTGGAGTCCTGGGGAAGCGAAGAATGTGTCCAGAACCGGGCTGTGTCTTTGTGGCAGGAGCTAGGGGCTGGGGGATGGAGGCAACGCTAGCCTGGGCCGTACCCTAGTTGGCATGGAGCGGCTCGGATTCCCCAGGGGACTCAGGCCTGAGCACAGGGTACTCCATGCTCCCTGCTGGGGTTGGTGGGTGGGGTGTGGTCTGGGCTTCCTTTGCCACAGTGCTGCCTGCCAGTCGCCCCCTGCAAGGGACGAGGGCTTAGTGCCGAAGCCAGGAGCCACCCCGTAGACCCTCAGCCCAGCGGAGCCTGACGCTTCCATGCTGGGCCCTCCCTCCCATGGAGCTTGGATCCAGCCAGGTCGCTGCCCCCAGCCTGAGCACGCTTGCCTCAGACCGATCGAAGCCCCAATTCATCATGGGAGCGGCACCTGTTCGCCCCATGCCCCGGCAGCAGGACCTGAACCCAGCTCTCCCACCCAGCTTGGGAAGGAGAGAAGGATTCCCCCCACTTCCCGGCAGTCCCCCCCCAGGCCTCGGAGCGGAGGCTGAAGCACCCCGGAGCAGCAGAGGTAGGGGCTGGGGAAGGGTGAGCCTGGCTGTGTGTTTTGCAGGTGCGCCGAGCTGCTTCTGGAGCACGGGGCCCTGGTGAACCTGAGCACCAGGGACCGGCGGACGACCCCGCTGCACGTGGCCGCCGAGCACGGCCTGGAGGCCCACCTGCAGCTCTACCTGGGCTACGGGGCCGCCCTTGCCCACCGGAACCGGGAAGGGGAGACGGCCCTCAATGCCGCCTGCGCCAGCTCCGACAGGCCTGCCGAGGCCGAGCGCTACTACCGGGTGGCCAAGCGGCTGCTGGAGTGCGGGGCCGACGCCAGGACGGCCGGCAGGAAGAACCACACCCCGCTCCACAACGCCTGCGGCAACTGCCAGCCCCGCCTGGTGGAGCTGCTGCTCCAGCACGGGGCTGCCGTGAACGTCCGCAACTGTGCCGGCTACGCGCCCATGGACTGTGCCCTGCAGGCAGTGGAGGAGTGCCCAGACGGGCAGCCCGAGAGCATCATCGCCACCTTGCTGGCTCACGGGGCGGCGGCCATCCACCCCAAGGTAAGGGAGGGAAATGGCCTGGGGGCTAAAGCACTGCCTGGCAGTCGGGACTCCGGAGGGAGGGGAGTCTAATGGTTAGAGCAGGGCTCCTGGGTCCTGTTCCCCTGCGCTCAGAGGAGGGAGTTGGGCCTAGTGGTGGAAGGCCATGGAGTCCAGACTCCTGGGTTCTGGCCCCAGCTTTGCCACAGACCCCCTGTGTGATCTTGGCAAGTCACTGAGGAGGCTCTCTGCCTCGGTTTCCCCATTTCTCACTCCTCAGAGTTGTGAGGCTGAGTTAACGTTTGTGAGGTGCATTGAACTCCTCGGGTAGAAACGAGTCACATTGGCTAAGGGTGACCTCAAGAGAAGAGTAAAAGCCGGGGAAGGTGGGGGGTGAAATGCATCTCCCTTAATCCCCCAGCACCACCCTTGGTTGCTCTGATGATGAGGGCTAACAGGTCTTTTTTTAATCTCTCCATCCTAATTCTGTATGAGGCTCCCTTTGTGCCTGGGAGACGGGTTCATGCTCATGCTTCAGGGCATAAACCAGCCACTAATTGCTGGGGTTAGGAAGAAACTGCATCTATAGGATTGCTGTTCATTTCCCTTCTTGCATCTTCCTCTGAAGTATCTGGCACCAGCCATCAGAGGCGGGTCCCTGGCAGTTCCCAGAGCACCTAGAGCCTTCCTGTAGGATCCCAAACCCCTTTGCCAACTACAGACCTACACAGTATAAATGCAGCCATGCGGTACAGCAGTGTAGGGTGAACCTCGCTCAGTGCAAGGGGGATTAAGTCCCTTCTGAAACGTGCACGTGGTAAGCTTTGCGTTTGCTCCTTCCATCGTGCGTGCAGGGAGGGAGAGTTGAGTCCACGCTTGCTGGGATCTGACCCTGTGACAGCAGGAATTCCCAGCGCTCTAGGGTTGAGGCCCACATCACTGCGCGATCGTCTCTGGCTCCCTCTAGCTTGGCTGGCACCCTCGCCCTCCTTGTGTTTCTCCGCCCTCCTGGCCAGTTCACCCTGTCCTTTGCTCTCTCCCGCCTGGCTCTCAGATGCTGAAGTTCTGCTCCTTGGCCCCTCGTGCCCTGGAAGTCGTGCTGAACTCCTACGACCGGATCCCGTCCTGCGATTCCTGGGTGGAAGTGGTGCCTCCGGAGATGTGGCAGGTACCTCCAGCTCGCAGCCTGCTTGGCACCAGGCAGGGCAGAGGTGCAGCTTGAGTGGTTCTGGAGGCCGAATGGTAGCTTGGCCCCCATATGAGGTGCATCTGGGGCTGCAGCAGGGCAAGCGTCTGCCCTGGAGGTACCTGCTGGGGACAGAGGGTTTTATGCTGCTGCCTAATATGCAGCCTGATGCTCAGTCTGCTTGGGGCTGTAGGCGACATGTTAGCCGTCCCAGTACACATCTATATCGCATGTATTCTGCATAACCTCGAGAATTTGGGTCTTTGAGCAACTCGCCTGAGGGACCAGAGAGTGGGATCTGTGGCTGCAGGACAGTCTCCATAGCTTGGGACTTTTAAACCTGGTCCAGATAAAGAAACCCCCTCAAGGGGACTAGATCAGTGGTTCCTAAACACCGCTCCATGCTGGTGATCTCATTGGCTGGGGAAAGGCTCCAAAGAGAGATGTAGAGCGAACACCCATAGAGTTCTTGGTCCTCCAGGGTCTAGAGAGGACTGGGATATAAGCGTGGAAGGGACCTCCTGGCTCAGAGTCCAGGCCCCAGCTGTGGTAGGCCACCCATCATATCATCCCATTCACAAATTTATCCAGTTCCATCTTAAAGCGAATTTGGTTGTTTGCGCCCCACCACCATGTTCCCCTCCCTCGGATGGCTAGAAACCTTCTCATTTCCAGCCTTTATTGAGTGCACAATGGGGGACTTAATAAAGTGAGGGCCTTCTGGGTAGGAGATCTGCCTCTAACTCTGCGGAAGCAGCTTGTGTCTGCCTCTCCTTGCCCCTGTACTTAACTGCTGTGCTCTGTGATAGACGGAGCCTCGTTTAATCCTCCTTCCGTCCTGGCAGGAACACAAGATGTTTTACGACTCTGCTCTCCAGATGACGAACCAGCCCCGGCAGCTGCAGCACCTGGCGCGCTGTGCCGTGCGAAAGCACCTGGGAGGACGGTGCCATTCTGCCATCCCCGAACTCAAACTGCCCCCGTCTCTGCGGGATTATCTGCAGCTCCCTCTTGAGGGCTACATCCGATGAAAGTAGAAGATGCATCCTTCGGGCGTGATCTTTGGGGAATAGCTTTGAATTGCTGACGAGTGACTAGAGAGAGCCAGTGGGCTTCAACACAGGCTGAGATCCCAAGGCATCAGGGGCTGTGTTCTGTCAGTTGACTCATGCCAAGTAGTAGCCCCGTGGGCTACTTCTAGAGTAAGTTGCTGATCAGCATGAGTGAGGTTGGCAGAATCTAGCCTTTTCTGAATATACTTTTATAACAGGGTTTGGCTTATGCTAGCACCAGTTTCCACCCTGCTCTACTGCATATAATATGAGGACAAAGGACGGTCAATGAAATTCAAAAGCGGCATACTTAAACCTGACACAGCAGAATATTCTTCCCCATGCAGTACCTAGTTAGTCAGTGGAACTCACTGCCACAAGAGATCATTGAAGCCAAGAGCTGAGCAGGACTCAAAGAAAGGACTGGACATTTCACTAGAGAACAAGGAAATGCTGAGGTAGAATAGCAAAGCCTTCTAAAATACAAGAGTCTCTATATGTTTAAACCCTTTCTGCTTCAGGCCACGAGCCAAATGCTGACGAAGGGGGTCAGAAAGAACGTCTCACTCTGAGGGGAACGGGGAATGTTTCATCCTTGTCCCCGGGGCAGGTCCTCCCACAGCAGCCTTCTGCTGGGTTTTCTGCACCTTCCTCTGAAGCAGCTGATACTGCCCCCTGCTGGACACAGGACACTAGGCTGGATGATCACTGGTCTGATTGATGTCTTTGGGGTTTTTTTTGTTTTTTAAACCCTTCTTTCTAAATACCAAGAACTGGGGTCAGAAACTCCAGTCTTGGGGATGCCGGTACCCTCTGTAACCAGGGCATCGTTTTGGATCCACAAACGGGCCAGCAGCTGAAAAGCACAAAACATGAACGCAGATGGAATCTGCTGCCAGGTTTTGCAATGCCTGTGGCTAAGGCCTGATGCCTGTTGTGTGTATCCCTTCCAAACTGGAGCACTCATTCAGGAGTGTGGTGTAAAGACCTAAATGGACAGAGCCCTAGGGAGTACCAGCCCAGAAGCTCATCTTGTCCTGTGTCCAAGAATTGCCCGTTCCAGCTCATTCCAGAAGAGAGGTCAAGGATACCGCCAGTGACCAATAATGGAATAACCTCCCCATAGGGGAAGTTTCCTCCTGACCCCTCTGTTGGTTTATTCCTTGAAGCAGGAATGTTTTTAAAAATACCCAGCTCTCCATCTGTAAATCTCAAAGCAGTTAAAGGCAGGTCTGTTTCATTCCCCAGCTGTAAAGGGGGTAAACTGAGGCATGGGGCAGTAGAAGTGACTTGCCCAAGGTCACCCAGCAGGCCCGTGGTAGAGCTGAGAATCGATCCCTGCTCTCCAGTCCACTGCTCTAGCCACTAGAACACATTGTAGCCCTTCCAAGGGATTTTAAAAACAACCTTCTAATGTAATTATGGATGTTATTATTATCCAGTCTTTTAACTTGAATCCTGATTATGTATTTTAATCTCATGAGCTCAAAAACTGCCTGCAGTTTGCCCTTTAGGGGCAGCCTGCGTTAGTTTCCCCATGTAAAATAAAAAGCTAGAGCAAATATATTTCAAAACAAGTTTGTTTTAAATCTTTTCCTGCATTGCTGTGGGGTAGGCCTGGGTCTGTGGTTCCTTGCTAATGAGAATACCCTTAGCCATTCCTCGGGTGTTCGTATAAGCACTCTCCTCTCTGGCGTCGATGCTGGTGTCATCAACTGTTGCATCTCGAGAAGGAAAATCACGAGAGGTGGGCAGTAGAAGCCACTAGATGCAGAGGCAGGATTGCCTTTCAAGGAGAGGCTGCATAATCTGGAAATGTTTCACCTTGCACCGAAGAAAGTCGGAGGGCAGCTGCTGGAGATCGTTACAGGTCCCAAAGCGAAAGCGCTGTTACTAATGACCGCTGTGGGCCATCTCCAAGCCCTTTACAAATGTGGGAAAGCAGGACCTCATTTTACAGCTGGGGAAATATTAGTGATTTAGCCAAGCAAATCAATGGGACAACTGGGAATAGAAGCCGGGATTGCTCTGCTTTCCTTTTTAAAAGGGTATGAGTGTTTTGCCCTTTAAACACCACCAACAGCCTATAGGGGCCTTAAAAACCAAACCAGCCTAGAACCCTGCTCCAGGGGCAGTTAAATTTCACTCTTTTTTCTTTCTACCTTGGAATTCCTGTCCTAGGGCCTGGAGATGGAGCTGAACAGGGTCAGGGCCACTGTTCCCTCTAAGCTGTGTGCATGTGCACACAGATCCTAAACCCCATGCCCATGGCAAAACACCCTGTGCACAAAAATTTGCCCAGAAGAAATTTTTTGTGCACACAGCCTGCCAAAAATTAGAGGGAACCTTGGTCAGGGCCCATTAAGGGGAGATCTTTGGAGGGGGATGCCAGGGTGGAAAATCCCTCTTTGGCAGGGTGTGCAGCTTCCTGCAGTGGTGCGATATACAGGGGCCAGGCAGTGCTCCTGGCATGGTGAATTCACAGCTTCAGGCCCTGGTAGAGCCAAGCAGTTGGAGAAGACATAGCAATGCCATAGATCAAATCTCTGCTCCATTTCCATGCTAACCAAGTACCTCCCTATGCCCTTAGGAGGCAGGGCTATGCTCTTATCCCTGTTCTACAGAGGGGGAACTGAGGCACTGGGGGCCAGCAAGAAATAGAAGCTAGGGCTCCCATGTCCTAGGAAAGCACCTTGACTACTGGGCCATCTGCCCTCTCTCTTATAACCAATAAGTTGTCAGAGAGGGGCTTGAATCCAACCCAGACTAGCACTGAGCCCCAGAGCTTGGAATATCACAACCCAGTCCAAACACTCCTGGCCTTGGGGGAGTCCAGATCTGATTTTCAGGGCTTGGATGGGAGAGGCAATATACATGAGGATACCAGCTTGCTGGAGGGGATCAGAAGACATCACTCCTAGCAGAGAATGGCTGGGTTCAGTACAGGAGGCGGGTTAATTTTTTTTCCCCTCTAAGCATTAGACAGGGGCTGCGGCCAGAAGCAAGATAACAAACTTCAGACTCTTGTTCCAAGCTGGTATGATAACTTGTACGTTGCAGAAGCAACACTGAATTTTGAGTGTCTAGATTTTCCCTTAAAACCAATGCTATCTAGTTCCCTTTAAAACATTGTAATGGAGGAAGTGTTTATATAAAAATGTACCACTGTCCTCTACTGGATGAAATCAGACTTGCCAACTGTGTGTCACAGCCTCTCTAGTGCTAGCAGCTAAGGGAGATTCTCCTCCTTTAGCCCCAGTGGTCAATGGCTATGCTTTTGCAGAATAAGCATTTTACTGGCATAGTTATTGCCATGACATGCCCTATAGTGGATCTGTTAGTGACTGGGAGATCTTCAGTTCTAAGTCCATTTTACCTCAAATAGCCTCTTCCATCTTAGTGCAAACCCTCTTGGCATCTAGAAAAGCAGTACTTGTGGCACCTTAGAGACTAACCAATTTATTTGAGCATGAGCTTTCGTGAGCTACAGCTCACGAAAGCTCATGCTCAAATAAATTGGTTAGTCTCTAAGGTGCCACAAGTACTTCTTTTCTTTTATCTAAAGTGATCATCAAGTTGGGCCATTTCCAGCACAAATCCAGGTTTTCTCACCCTCCGCCCCCCCCCCCCCAAACTCACTCTCCTGCTGGTGATAGCCCATCCAAAGTGACCACTCTCTCTAAAATGTGTATGATAATCAAGGTGGGCCATTTCCAGCACAAATCCAGGTTTTCTCACCCCCCACCCCCCCCTCCCAAAACCACACACACAAACTCACTCTCCTGCTGGTAATAGCTCATCCAAAAGGACCACTCTCCCTACAATGTGCATGATAATCAAGGTCGGCCATTTCCAGCACAAATACAGGTTTTCTCACCCCCCCACCCCCATACACACACAAACTCACTCTCCTGCTGGCAATAGCTCATCCAAACTGACCACTCTCCTTACAATGTGCATGATAATCAAGGTGGGCCATTTCCAGCATAAATCCAAGTTTAACCAGAACGTCGGGGGGGGGGGGGGCTGTAGAAAAAAACAAGGGGAAATAGGCTACCTTGCATAATGACTTAGCCACTCCCAGTCTCTATTTAAGCCTAAATTAATAGTATCCAATTTGCAAATGAATTCCAATTCAGCAGTTTCTCGCTGGAGTCTGGATTTGAAGTTTTTTTGTTGTAAGATAGCGACCTTCATGTCTGTGATTGCCTGACCAGAGAGATTGAAGTGTTCTCCGACTGGTTTATGAATGTTATAATTCTTGACATCTGATTTGTGTCCATTTATTCTTTTACGTAGAGATTGTCCAGTTTGACCAATGTACATGGCAGAGGGGCATTGCTGGCACATGATGGCATATATCACATTGGTGGATGTGCAGGTGAACGAGCCTCTGATAGCGTGGCTGATGTTATTAGGCCCTGTGATGGTGTCCCCTGAATAGATATGTGGGCACAGTTGGCAACGGGCTTTGTTGCAATCTGACTTGCTGCTCATTCTGCATCCTCCCTCCATCTTCACCTAGAAGGCAGTACCAGCCCCTGAGGCTAGTCTTCCAGAGCCTCCCTCCAGTCCCCTGGACCTTGCAACAGCAGAACAAGCAGGGGTGTGACACAGGCCCCTCGGCTGACTCACACCAGCTGGGGATCTAGCCCTGTGCGACAGGCTCCTAGCTCAGCCAGGGTTCATTCTCCCCATCCTTCTTCTGGGGGTAGGTAAGCTGAGTTCCATCTCCTTTACTGCATGGGGTCTGTAGGAGGAAACATCCCCAGGGGTGCCCTCTACAGATCCCAGGGCCCTTTTCATTCTTAATATCACCCGCCCCATTCTCCTGCTTTCGCAGGTTGCTGTGAGCTGGTTATCTTCCCCCAGAGGTGGCTGCATTTCGGTGCTGCCATCTGTCAACAACTTTGGGATCCTACCAGCTACTAGACAGCGCAGCTGCATCCCTCTCTCAATGCTTTCAAACGCCAAAGAGCTTTTCCTGTCCCTACGCCAATTCTGGTGGTTTCACATTCCTTCTCCTGTCCCAGCGTCTGGGGGAAAGCCTGGTAACTAAGGGGAGAGGGAGAGCAGGGACGTGCCAGTCTGCCAGGAGCGCTGTCTGGAGTCCCAGATCTCGCAGCAGGACACACCAGCCGCCTGACTGAGCCACGCAGTCTATTTATTGACAACATCTCAGCTTGATACTGAGCAGCTCTGGTTTTCATCACATCAGCATCTTCAGGCCTGCATCAGCCTAAGCACAGCTGCATCCTTAATTATTTAGCGTGGTGACCTACTTCCCACTGCAGGGACAGGCTCCTGGGCGGCCCCCGATTCCACCAGGCTAGCTTTACATAGCTACGGCTTGGAGAGGGCCCAGCAGCTGCATATCAGCTGCAGAATAGCTAGGGCCTTTTTTTGGGGGGGTAGAGGGGGGTGTTATACAGCGCCCAGTACAACGGGATCCTGGTCCACCACTAGGGCTTGTAGGTGCTACTGTCATACAAAATTGAGCCCTTAAGCCTGCATGGGGGATTATCCAGGGCTAAAGCGTATCCTTCCCCTCCCCGTGCTTTACACCTCTCCTCCCCAGAGGGCACTAAACATCAGCAGCAAGGTCTGTTGGTTCTCTTTCAGCTACTCAGACGGCTACAATCTTCAGTGGCTGTATTGCACAGTGCCCCTGTGGGGCAGGACCCCGTGGTCACCCGCTGTACGGGTGGGAACAGGCACCTAGAGAGATTCCGTGACTTACCCGAGGTCCCACAGAGCGTCCGAAGCAGAGCTGGGAACTGAAACCAGATCTCCCCCGTCCCATTCCTGTGACCTAACCACAAACCCATCCTTCCTCTCCAGCAGAAATGTTTTCCCCAGAGCAACACAGGTAATTACTCTTGAAATGGAAACTTAACTGTAGTGTCTTGTCCTTGTGGAAACACAGCACCAAGGAAGCAGCTGGTAAGAGCAGGCAGGACCAGCAAAGCAGGATCCAGCAAAGTACTTTCTTCAGTTTTGACTGGACTTTCTCTGCCCTGTGATTGCTGTTTGCTCCAGCCCCCCTCTTCCTGGAGTCTTACCCTCTTCTCCCCTCCCCATCAACAGCCCCTCTTCCTTCCAGTGAGCCGAGTCCTCTCCTAACCAAACTCTTCTTCAAAACCAATGATAATAATGGAACATACATAGCATTTGTCACCACCCCATTGTTCCCTCTGCGTGTTCTGCCCCCACCCTTAGGTCCGTCTGGTCTGTTTAGGATGTAAGCTCCTTTGGGACTCTGCCACTCTGTGTCTGTACAGAACCTACTGCAATAAACATGATTAATAACAGTACTTTGGTAATTGTAGGCTGCCTCCATACCTCCTGCCCTGGAGGACATGGGCCTCTTAATTCCCTCCCTCGAACGGTTACCTACTGTTGGTGTTTACTGTTAAACACAAGCCATGCTCTACCCAACAAGTGGCTACTTTTCCTTCCAGCGTGGTCTGCTAGGTAGAGCAGGGTCTGAATCTGGCCCCCGTGGGTCCTATCCCCAGTTCTGCCATTCCCTTGCTTGATGGCCTTGAGCAGGTTGTCTCCTTGCCTCAGTTTCCCTACATGTGAAATGTCCCTGGGGTTAGAGTTAAACCCCTATAACGGGGAAGGAACAAGTCCCTGGGGCCAGGCTGAGCTCCCAGCCCGACCCATGCTCTGACTCTGGGGCCAGGGATGGATCCCAAGGGGCCAGGACAGGAGTTCAGGGACCTATCTTTACAGCAAAGCAGACTCAGCTACTGAGTTTGCAGAGTTTTGTTAAAGTTACCCCATTTTCCCAATCCTCTCACTAAACTCCTCAGTGTAGTCTCACTATCCTCCCTACCAACACTACAAAAAGAAGGATTCTAGGTGGACTCCTCCTGAAGGTCAAGACAGCAGACTGGACTTCTACATAGAGTGCTTCCGCTGACACGCACGGGCTGAAATTGTGGAAAAGCAGCATCACTTGCCCCACAACCTCAGCTGTGCAGAACACAATGCCATCCACAGCCTCAGAAACAACTCTGACATCATAATCAAAAAGGCTGACAAAGGAGGTGCTGTTGTCATCATGAATAGGTCGGAATATGAACAAGAGGCTGCTCGGCAGCTCTCCAACACCACTTTCTACAAGCCATTACCCTCTGATCCCACCGAGCGTTACCAAAAGAAACTACAGCATTTGCTCAAGAAACTCCCTGAAAAAACACAAGATCAAATCCGCACAGACACACCTCTGGAACCCCAGCCTGGGATATTCTATCTACTACCCAAGATCCATAAACCTGGAAATCCTGGGCGCCCCATCATCTCAGGCATTGGCACCCTGACAGCAGGATTGTCTGGCTATGTAGACTCCCTCCTCAGGCCCTACGCTACCAGCACTCCCAGCTACCTTCGAGACACCACTGACTTCCTGAGGAAACTACAATCCATCGGTGATCTTCCTGATAACACCATCCTGGCCACTATGGATGTAGAAGCCCTCTACACCAACATTCCACACAAAGATGGACTACAAGCCGTCAAGAACACTATCCCCGATAATGTCACGGCTAACCTGGTGGCTGAATTTTGTGACTTTGTCCTTACCCATAACTATTTTACATTTGGGGACAATGTATACCTTCAAATCAGCAGCACTGCTATGAGTACCCGCATGGCCCCACAGTATGCCAACATTTTCATGGCTGACTTAGAACAACACTTCCTCAGCTCTCGTCCCCTAACGCCCCTACTCTACTTGCGCTATATTGATGACATCTTCATCATCTGGACCCATGGAAAAGAAGCCCTTGAGGAATTCCACCAAGATTTCAACAATTTCCATCCCACCATCAACCTCAGCCTGGTCCAGTCCACACAAGAGATCCACTTCCTGGATACTACAGTGCTAGTAAACGATGGTCACATAAACACCACCCTATACCGGAAACCTACTGACCGCTATTCCTACCTACATGCCTCCAGCTTTCACCCTGACCACACCACATGATCCATTGTCTATAGCCAAGCTCTACGATACAACCGCATTTGCTCCAACCCCTCAGACAGAGACAAACACCTACAAGATCTCTATCAAGCATTCTTACAACTACAATACCCACCTGCGGAAGTGAAGAAACAGATTGATAGAGCCAGAAGAGTTCCCAGAAGTCACCTGCTACAGGACAGGCCTAACAAAGAAAATAACAGAACGCCACTAGCCGTCACCTTCAGCCCCCAACTAAAACCCCTCCAACGCATTATTAAGGATCTACAACCTATCCTGAAGGATGACCCAACACTGTCACAAATCTTGGGAGACAGGCCAGTCCTTGCCTACAGACAGCCCCCAAACCTGAAGCAAATACTCACCAGCAACCACATACCACACAACAGAACAACTAACCCAGGAACCTATCCTTGCAACAAAGCCCGTTGTATCTATTCAGGGGACACCATCACAGGGCCTAATAACATCAGCCACACTATCAGAGGCTCGTTCACCTGCACATCCACCAATGTGATATATGCCATCATGTGCCAGCAATGCCCCTCTGCCATGTACATTGGTCAAACTGGACAATCTCTACGTAAAAGAATAAATGGACACAAATCAGATGTCAAGAATTATAACATTCATAAACCAGTCGGAGAACACTTCAATCTCTCTGGTCACACGATTACAGACATGAAAGTTGTGATATTACAACAAAAAAACTTCAAAACCAGACTCCAGCAAGAGACTGTTGAATTGGAATTCATTTGCAAATTGGATACAATTAACTTAGCCACTCCCAGTCTCTATTCAAGCCTAAGTCATTATGCAAGGTAACCTATTTCCCCTTGTTTTTTCCTACCCCCCCCTCCCCAGACGTTCTTGTTAAACCCTGGATTTGTGCTAGAAATGGCCCACCTTGATTATCATACACATTGTAAGGAGAGTGATCACTTTAGATAAGCTATTACCAGCAGGAGAGTGGGGTGGGGGGAGAGAAAACCTTTTGTAGTGGTAAACACCCATTTTTTCATGCTTTGTGTGTATAAAAAGATCTTCTATACTTTCCACAGTATGCATCCGATGAAGTGAGCTGCAGCTCACGAAAGCTTATGCTCAAATAAATTGGTTAGTCTCTAAGGTGCCACAAGGACTCCTTTTCTTTTTGGGGACAGAAGATATGGTTTCATCCAAAACCTCTCCTAGCCTAGCGTAACCCTGGCAGATAAAGCCCTTCTTCTACACATAATTTGCACAGCTGTGGACGGTTTGCTCTCACCCCACCTCCACTAATTATTCACATAACGACTAGCGCTTGGTCCCCACCTATACCTGCTTTATTTCCACCCTCAGTCATTGCCAAGGGGACCCCAGATATTCCCCCACTTGATTGCCTCACAGATTTGGGTGGCTGGCAGTCTGCTTTTATTTTCCCCAGGATTTTAGCGGCAAGGCCTTTTCCAGCCTGTGCTTTAGCAATACACTCCACCAGCACAGCACTACCCTGTAACCTTCTGGCTCTTCATAAAGTTCCCAAGGCTTCTCCTCATACATTCAGCTATTTTCAAGGGATTCACAGCTCCTCTCTTTACCTCCTCCCTCAGCCGTAGAGCCTTGCCTGGGACTCATTTTGTAAACCCCCCTCCCACCCCACAACGTCTCCTTCCGCATTCTGTGTCTTGAATTTTTATCTGGCTCCTGCTATTATGGCAGCAGGTCCCCTGGCCGGATGCAGGGCCCTACTCAGCACTTTGACAACTACAATCATGTGGGGTTCCCCCCCCTTCTCTTTGCTCCCTCCCTGAGTCTTTCCCCTAGTGCTGGGTCTTTTCTAATTTGTGCCCCTGGTGCAGGCCCCCGGCTGCAGCCTGGGCTAGAGTCACCCCCAGCCCCACCCAGCTTATATAGCCCAGAACAGCTGAAGCCCCTCCCCCTGCTCCTGGCCCCGCCCCTGCCGCACGGGGCCCCGCCCCCTACTGCTGAGCCCGCCCCCTCTGCCCAACCCTCTTGAAGGGACTTTTTACGGGGGCGGGTTCGGATCATCCCGACCGCTCCCCTCGCGGCTGACCCCGCCCCTTCCCTCTCGGCTCCTCGTATGACGTCACCAGCGAGCGCCGGCCTAGCTCCCTCCCCCCCCCTCACGCCGCCCTCTCCCTTTCACGTCTGCGGCGCGTGCGTGAAACGTCGTTGTTTTCTGCGTGTGTGCTTGTGACGTGAGCGGCGTGTGCTTGGAACGTGTAGTGTATGGGGGCGGGGGGGGCCTTCGGACAGGAGGAGGCGACTGCGGGAGTGCCAGGTCAGTGGTAGTGAGCGGACCGGGCCCCCCCGGGGGGGGGTCTAACCCCCCCGGGCTGGTCCCCCTCCCCCCGGCTCGGCCCCTCCCCCGCTCCGGGGGGTCTAACCCCCCCCCCGGGCTCGAACCCCTCCCCCGCTCCGGGGGGGCGGTCCCCCCCGCCCCCCGGCTGGTCCCCCTCCCCGCCCGGGGGTCAACCCCGGGCTGAACCCCTCCCCCGCTCCGGGGGGTCTAACCCCCCCCGGGCTCGAACCCCTCCCCCGCTCCGGGGGGTCTAACCCCCCCCGGGCTGGTCCCCCTCCCCCCGGCTCGGCCCCTCCCCCGCTCCGGGGGGGTCTACCCCCCCCCCCCGGGCTCGAACTCCTCCCCCGCTCCGGGGGGTCTAACCCTCCCCCCGGGCTGGTCCCCCTCCCCTGGCTCTGCCTCTCCCCCACAGTAGGGACTGTGTCATCTCGTGGGACTGTGACCCCCCCCCCCCATTAATGCCCTTTCCCTGCTCGCTTGGTGTCGTTAAGACGCAGCCCACAAGCGGGGTCTAATCCCCCCCTCCCCACCCAGGTCTGAGAGGCCTCGGTGACTCCCCAGGCCACAGTTTCTTTCTGTTCCCTTCCCACCCCTGGCTGCAGGTACCTCCTGGCCGTGTAAAAGGGCAGGGGAAAGTCAGGGCTCAAGGAGGGTTAGGAAACAAAGTTCTTCCTTTATGCGCCATGCAGGTGTCCCACCCGTCTCAGACGGGGCAGCCCTGGGCTTCTGGTCCTGCTGGCCTGGGTTTGCGCCAGGTGTTTCATCATCTTAGATTTTTGCAGCACCGTAAGGGGAGAACCGGTCTCAGTTTCAGCACTGTATGAAATGGCAGACTGTGCTGTCTCCTTTCAGACGGTGGTCCAACAGACGCACGCTAGCCACGCACGCACTGGTGTTTTCTTAGACGACACTAGCAATGGTGCTGAGTGTGTGAATAGCATAGATGCTTCCCAGAAGCTCTGTGTAAGTATTAGCCAGTCCAGCCCTCAGCGCCCCACCTGTGGGGCAGCTATGGCCAGTGAGTGAATGTTCCCATTTTACAGATGAGGAAAGTGAGAGACGGAGGGGGAAGTGACTTGTCCATGGTCGCATAATGAGTCAGCGGCAGAGCCAGGACTAGGACCCAGGAGTCCTGACTCCAAGTCCCCCACGCTGATCACTAGATCACAGTCTTCCATGGTAAATTGAACTGAATCCACGTTGAGGGATTCTATGTGACACTTGTTCCCAAAATTTAATTTCTCTACTTATGATTTCAAGTTCAGGTCTTTGTTACAGAGACTTGCTTCTAAGAGATGTGGAAGAAGAGGGGTTGGCTATTTTTCTAATGAGAAGCTGAGTAACTGCGGACCCTGGCAATATGTTTTTTTCCTTTTCTAAAAATGTCTGAGTTGTGAGTTAGCATGTCTTTCCCTGATCCATGGAAGGGACTTTTCTGTATCTGTACATTGTGTGTCCAATCACTTAAACTTTTCTGTATCTTTGCTTTGCCATTCTAGAGCACTTTCACATTATTTTCTGAGACCTTTAAAAACGAATGAGTTGACCTTCATGAGCCTCCTATGACATGGGCTGATATCACCATTCCCATTTTGCAGATGGGGAAACTGAGCCACAAGGGTGACCTGCCCAATGCCAAACTAAGAATGAGCCCCGGGAGTTCTGTGGTTAAGGCACAGAATGTGTTCTTTCTTCATCTGTGAGACGTGCTAGTTTGTTCTGATTTTACAGCTCACGTGTTCTGCTTACGTCTTCTGCTGTGGAAGGCACCATGGAAGAATTTCTCCTTGCAATTCTAATATGGTTATTATGTCTTAAATGTTGTCAGTGTATTTGGTTGGGGATGTTTCATACCTGAATGGTCCATTATACCAGGATTAATAAAGGAGCTGCTGTGGAAAAAGCTTATTTGCAATTTGCTAAATTGATTTGATATTTAACTTTCGGAACGTGGTCTTGCTTTGCTTCTACCTGTGTAAACTTTCTCTAGTTCTGTATTATCTTCCTTTCCTCTCCTCTTTGCTATGCCAGTAATAAAGATAAGTGTGAGAGAACCCTTCCCCTCCCACTGATTTGTTGTGTAGTTGGTAGATACACTAAGGGCAGTTGCGTGTCAAATCTGAAAAGTGAACTTTGCCACAAAACAGGCCAGAGGTCCCCACTGCTGGACAGCAACTGTTTATGTTCAGTGCTGGGATTGTGTGGCAAAGTTGAGCTAGGAGAAAAACAGCTACACTGTGCTGGAATGTGGCAGTCACGTTCGGGGGAGTCATAAAAACAAACCAACTGTAGTTTTGGAAGTTATTTCTGCCACGCCTGCTTCTCGGCTAGAGGATAAAGAACTAAGACGACAGACATTAGGAGAGCCTGTCTAATTTTCTTTCATGTTAACCTGGCTGGTTATAGTTCCCTTACCTGCTTGCTGTGCGTGTCTCATTTGATGGGGGTCTTGTGCTCTTTGTTTTTAAGAGAAAGGGACAAATGTTAAAACAGAGCAAGGGTCTCAGGAATTGGAAAGGCAGAAACTACTGCTTCTCACTTCCTGGTTCTCTCCTATTAGGCTCCACACGCCTCAGTTTGTTACCCTTCTGGAGCACCATCCTTTTGTTGGTTCATGGCTGGAGCTGAGTTCCTTTTGCCTTTTTCTTTGCAGCTGAGCTCCTGCAAGAAGCCAAGAGATGGAGCCCCCTGGCATGACCATCTTTGAAGGGGTGGGGGATGAAGTAACGGTGGTGACTGGCATGGTGGTTCTTGTCCTGGCTCTGGTTCTGGCGTGGCTTTCCACTTACGTAGCAGATGGTAGCAACCTGCTTTTGGGAACTATTGTAGCTACGGGCGAATCCTCTGTGATCCATCTCAGCCACGTTGAACGGTACGTGGGGAATTCAGTAACGTCCGAGCCTACTGAGCCCCAGGGGTCTGCTGATAGTTCAGAAGAAAAAGCAGAAGAGGAAGGGGGTGCGGCATCCAACTTGGGCCCTGCAGTTGAGCAGGGGGGCAATGGCAGCACCTCTGACTCCAGCCTCGACCATCTGCTGAACATACAAGGCTTGCCCAAAAGGACATCAGCCAGCGAGTCCAATGCCCTAGAACGGCCGGGTCAAGAGAGCCAAGGAACCTCGCAAATGTCACACATCGGGGAGGAGAGTGAGCCATGCTCCGGGCTCATCAAAGTGCGTCTCAAGTTCCTCAATGACACAGAAGAGGTGGCCATGGTGAGACCGGAGGACACCGTGGGTGTTCTCAAGAGGTAAGTTCCATGTAAGAGCCGTCAAAGGGATCGTCAGTCTATGGGGAAAGGATCCCACTTGAATCTGAGGCCCAGAGTTAAAGTGAGCAAACCTCCCCCAGCAAGCACTGCCATAGGTTCTGTGAGGATTGTCCCTTTTGTGTCTGTAGAGTGCCTGGTGCAGTGGAGCCTCTAGGCAGTGCCCGATTATAAATGAGTAGCAATCGTTAAATCTGTCTCTGGGGTGTCTAACGATGTGCCCCTCACTGGTAAGTGATGGCTTGGACGGATTTGGCTCTTACTTTTGTATACATGTCAGTCTGTGCTATTATGGCCCTTTTTATCAGTACATCTCAGAGCAGGTCAGTATCCCCATCCATATTTTTTACCACTGGGGAGACAGGCACAGAAGGGGAAGTGACTTGCCTGAGGTCACCCAGCAACTCAGTGGCAGAGTTAGGAATGAAACTCAGCTTGCCTGAGTCCCACTCCAGTGCCCTACCCACTCAGCCACACTTGATATTTTGTGTTGTTCCCCCCCCTTGCCTTTGGCTATTGATTGTCCCATGCAGACAGCAAGCACCTTGGGGCAGCAAACCTTGTCTTATTTGTCTGGACAGTGCCTTATACACTTCCTATTTTGTTTTGATCTTTCACTTTTTTTGTTCTTGTAACAAGAACATAAGAATGGCCCTACTGGGTCAGAGCAAAGGTCCATCCAGCCCAGTATCCTGTCTTCCGACAGTGGCCAATGCCAGGTGCCCCAGAGAGAATGAACAGAACAGTGATCGTCAAGTGATCCATCCCCTGTCACCCATTCCCAGCTTCTGGCAAACAGAGGCTAGGGACACTGTCCCTGCCCATCCTGGCTAATAGCCATTGATGAACCTATCCTCCATGAATTCATCTCGTTCTTTTTTGAACCCTGTATAGCCAAGAGGTAAACCTTAAATCCTAATGGCTATAATGTGCTCTCTGGGGCAAGTACTGTCTCGCAGTGTGGGGCTAATCTGGATTGGAGCCTCTACGGGCTGGTGTAATGCACAAATAAACAATTGTTTGAACCCATTGTGAACATGGTTTCATTTTCCTGTTTATCTTCAGTGGCAGCTAGAATTGGCAGGAACAGTCATCGGGGTATGTAACTTCCCCGCTCTGTAAACTTAAACTCCTCCTGTTAGTAGTTGCTGACCTGTTTTGGGAAGGCTGGTGAAATTGACCATTAATTACTGACTACATTTGAATCCTGATGAGGTTTAACCTTGCTACGTTGTTTGGGTTTTATGCGAGTCACTAGCCCAGTCTTGGCTGCATTTAGGACTGGTGTTTTTAAAGCATCTCTTCTAAACTTTGCCTCTTTCTGGTTTCCTGAAAAGCAAATATTTCCCAGGACAAGAAAATCAGATGAAGTTTATCTATCGAGGCCAGCTACTCCAGGACCAGGCCCGGACTCTCCGCTCCCTCAATATCATGGACAACTGTGTGATCCATTGCCACCTGTCGCAGGCCGCCAGCTCCCCCATTCCTGACTCGGTGGTCACCCCAGCAGAAGCAGCAGGGCTCACGGTGAACATAGGGAATCTAATGCTCCCTGTCTTCGTGGTGATGTTGGCTGTGATCTGGTACTGCCGCATCAACTACCGCCAGTTCTTCACTGCGCCGGCCACAATCTCCTTGGTTGGGGTGACTGTCTTCTTCAGCTTCCTGGTTTTTGGGATGTATGGACGATAAGAGGCAAAGTTGGAGGGGTAGATACTCCTGTCTGTCCCTTTAATTGGAACCCAGCATTTGTTTTATAGCTTGTTTTAAATGTGCTGTGACAAATGGTGTTAGGGAAACTGGCCGGGGGCCCAGGGGATTCCCTGCCCACTCAAATACTAGAGAACCTTCCGTATCCAGCAATGTGGAAGAGACACCCCTAGAATCACTGTTTGTTTCCTCACCTTGCTGCTGCTTAATGAGACTTTGTTCCTCCATAGAAGGGGACAGCTTTGCCAGGTGCTGCTTGTGTGCTCTAACTGACCTGTTTCATTTATGTCATGAGATGAATCATCTCTCCCAAGGCACTGCTGCAACTCCTCTCAGGTAGAGATGAGGAAAGGGACCTTCTGTCCCTTGCCCCATGAATATCTTTAAAGCAGCCTCAGCATGTGTACTCTGAGTTTGTCTCAGCTGTTTGAAGGAGTCCCTGTGAAAAGAGCCACTTTCTAGCCTGGCAGAAAGTAACTCCGTATTCATGGTTTGTCCTCTCTGCTGTAGATGAATGGGCCCTGTTAGAATGCAGCTGCTGTAGGTTTGCATGCTTGGGCTTGCTTTAAGATAGGCCAAACTCCCAAGAATGGACTCTGTGGTGATGAGACAGCATGTTGCCCCGCTGTGATCCTGCATGGTACTTCTCTCTCACTTTGCCACTCCTGGAAGGGACTAGGGGCTGCCTTCCTGGATTATGTACTGAGCGTGCACTCCACCAGGGCCTAAGCGCTAAAAGTCCCTTTCAGTGGTATAGGGCTGTCTGGCACCTCCTCACTGCTTGAGCAGGCTTGCTTTGTATTTAACATGCTTGGTGCTTACAGTGCTAATTCTAAAGACCAAATATTCTCACTGGTACTTAGTGCAAATGGGAGGGAGCTATTTTTAAAGGAATTCTTTTTAAATAGAAGGTTGCAATTTCTGCTGAGTGCTCTTCCCCCTGGGGTAAAATTGTGCCTACCCCAGACAGTTTGAGACAAATGTTTAACTTTCTTTATAGCACTTTCCTCCTTGCCCTTGTTTTCTATGAATGCATTTATAAAGACAGACCCTACAGTGGATTTTGTTTAAAGAACATGTTGAAAGTTGCTCCTGGTTGTTGAAGGCTGCTTTTTGTTTTGCATGGGGGCAGGAGAGATTGCCTGCAGGCACAGGAGTGTGAAGTAGGAACGTGTAAAGAACTCAAAGGTCTGAGAAGCAGCAGGCCTGCAGGAGCCATGCAGGTGCCTGATTTACAGCAGAGGCCTTGCCTACAGAGGGAAATTAAACAGAATAGCTAGACCCAAGCAAGCTATTCTGAAATAGCTCCCCCCCCGTGAACACTTCTAGGACAAGTTTACGCTACTGCGCTACATGGGTGCTGCTGTAGCATGTCTGGTGAAGACACTATGCCAGCAGGAGGGCGTTCTCCCATCGGCATAATTACTCCACCTCCGTGAGAGACAGAGCTATATCTCCCACCGACAGCACGCTGTGTGGATAGTGCTTAAGTTGATGTAACTTATGTTGCTGGGGGGGCGGGGGGGGAATCTTTTTCACACCCCTGAGCAATCTAAGTTACATTGACTTAAGCTTTAGTGTAGACCAGCCTCTCAGATATCACTTTTTATTCCAGAACAGCCCATCCACCTGGAGGGTTATTTGAGAGTTCAATTCCCCCCTAGACAAGGGCTGAGAGCAGCACCTCACAACTGAACAGGTATGAAAGTACTGAAGGATATAGCTTATTCTACTTCCTGAGCCAGAATTAGCTATATTAGCATCAGATTCCCAGCACGGCTTTTACTGGGATAACAATCTTGGTACAAAACCTACACCCTTACCTGAAGTAGTTATACTCATGCAAAGAGCCTTTAGGGCAAGCCTCAGTCCTTGCGTGACCGTCACAGCTGGGACATTGGCTTCTACTCTAACCATCACAAGCAGCAAGTCTCTCTGGCTGACAGAAGAGTACCCCTGCATTTTTTTCTCCCTGACAGTCCAGTTTGTGTGGCAGCTTGCACTTTTTACAGCCAAACTGCCATTCTTCCTCATGTAGTTTAACAGTTAGAGATAAATTCAAGCCCCACCCACACCTCCAAGGGTTTAATTAAAAAAAAACCAAAAACACATCTCTTAACCATTAACACTTCCCCCCAGCTGTACTTCTAGTCAGAAGGGTAGACAGCTGCACTTTAATGACATTATAGACAGAAGAGGCTTGGATACCAAGTCAAGATGCATTTTATTTACAGGGGCAGCCACAATCCACTAATGGGAATACACAGCTTTTACAAAGTTGGAACTACCTGTACAGGATGGATTACATATGCAAAAATAAAAATTTCAAGACCACAGTACAGTACTGACCCCACCTTCCCACATGTGATCACCACCTGTGTCATTTCCCACCCTCCTGGCAGTTAGGTTGAGGGCCACAAATGGGAAGTCACAGGTGCAGGTTTTTTATATCATTACAAATTAAAACCCTCCTCATGACCAGTATCATGATAGAATGCAGGGTTTCAAGTGAAGCAGGCTTACCTTAAAAATAAAAAAAAAGGTGGGGGGGGGAATGATAGAGCCTATGAGTAAGAAGAAAAAACCAAGCAGCCTGGATCACTCTCTGAGGCTGCAAGCCAAACACAAATACAGCTGTGCTTCTCAGGGATTTCCACCAGCAGCTGCAGTACAGGGTCCAGCCTGGGCTCCTTTGGGTTGTTCTCTCTTAGGCCTTGCTTTCTGAAGTTGCACGACTCGAGCTGTTCATGACCGGCCTGTCCACAATGTTCTGATACCTCCATGGTAGCCAGTCATCTACCTCCTCAGTGGCCACGCTTAGAACTACCATGGTCCTCCTCTGCACAAAGGATTTTAGTCCCACCAATTCACCTAGTTAAGCAGGTTGTTTTAATATTCTGTGCAGGACAAAGATATTAACCCTCCACTTGCCTTCTATGCACTGTGCTGTAGCGACTCCCATGACACACATGCAGCTGTCAGCAACAAGCAGGAAAAGCCTGCTTTGTCCTGTTCCAGACCCCACTGCCCCTGTTATGACAGCAGAGTGGACAGCTGCTGCCCACCTCCTTCCACAGAAAGATCTAGCTCAACACACGCTGGCACTGCAGGAGAGCGGTCCAGGCCTGGGCCCTCAAGGTTCTATTGTTCCTACTGCTGACAAGCCCAGGTGCCATGGGACTGACCCTTTTAGGAGTCCCGGCTCGGGGCAAAGAACAGCTTCTAGAGATGCTTGATCCAGAGTTGCACGTAGGAGCCCCATGCAGCTACGCCCCAAAGCTAGCAGCATTGTTTCCACTCCACTCAAAACCGCAGCGGTGCGAGGAGCCTGCAGTTGCATCGACTGGAAAGACAACACGTAAAGAGACGTCAACCACGTCCAGAGAGAGCTCAGACACCCCAGGCAGGTGCATCAGCAGGCAGGGGAAGGGCACAGCTTAAAATGAGCCCGGCCACAAGCCAGGAGTCAAACTGGAGCTCATGGCTGAGTGTCTCCCTGGCTCAGCTGCATAGCTCAGAGGGAGGAATACGCTGTTCCCTTGTACAAGCAGCGAACGAGGTGCAGTGATCACTTCCACTAAGACTAGCCGCCGGGATGAGAGAGCCGGTTGTAGGACACAGCATGGACAGTTCAATCCCACACACTTGCAAAGCAGTTGGTAGGGACACACAGACAACCCCGTCATTCTAGAGCTCCAAGCCACTGTATGATCCTGGCACACCCTGTTGGATGCACTAGCAGAGGGCACTTGCAGGTCAGCGCCCAATCTACAGGGTCAAATGCTTGTGCATGTGACACTTGCCTCCAGCTCGCACCCCGAATCTCTGCCATCCCTTTAATAAATTCCTCCACCATTCAAGACTCTCATGATTCTTAACCTAGATTAAAAACTAGACTCTCTCCCTCCCCCAAGAAGGGCACAGGATGAATAGGCAACTTGTGATTAACCTACCCGCACCCAAGCCCAAATGGACACCTAACTTGGGGGGATTCCTCTCCTCTCCCTTAAAGACCCTCTTCCCCAGAGGCCTGTTCTCTGCAGCCAGAGCCTTCCTTCTAAAGACATAATGGCTGGAGTTTAGGAGACAGACACAGGAGCACAGGTCAGAGTCTAGCTCAGAACAAAGGTTTCCTAGGGTCAGACAGGTGCCTTTCATAAAGTTACCTTAGACAGGGAATCAGCAAGGCTGTGGGAAGCAGGACACCTCATTTGCACTACGGGACTCAGTTCATATTTGCCAGCCAGCAGAGCCACTCATCGGGGTTTAGCCATTTTCACCGTTCTGCAATGAGGCCCGCAGCGATCTGGAGCAGACATTCCAGGCCGCTTACAGCCGATCGGTGCCTCAGGCGTTTGGAGACCCAAGACAAAAGTTACATGGGAAAGGCTGGGTCTGCACACCCCACCCTTTGCAGGGAGCGACCTGCGGAACAGAAGGAAGGTGCAGGGATACCAGAACCACAATTGGGCAGAGCACATACCTATGCAGACAGCTGGCTGCCTCAGACTGCAGGCCAGGAGCAGGGCCCTGTGCCATACACATGTGCTCAGTGTCAAAGGTGCCTTCCCCACTCCCCCGCTCTGAGTGGCCCCCAGTTTTGAGCTAGGGCTGTGCACCGTGACTGCCTTGACCTCGAACATCGAGACGCAGCCGGCAGAGATTACTCCGCATGCAGCCCCCACCATGATCCAAGCAGTGAGCTCTGCATGCCCTCGGGTTCCTGCCCTTTCACTGAGGGCACCCCACAGGCCCCTTCAGTGCAGAGCAGGGCAGAGCCGTACGCACGAGAGGGCTGGCTGAGTGCCACGGCTCCAATGGGAAAGCAGAGGAGAAACCTGGAGGTGCCCCCCCCAATCAGTTTTCAGATGCTTTTGGAACCTGCAAGGCATCCGGATACAGCCTTGCTCACACATGCAAGCATCCAGGAAGAGTCAGACAGACTGACACACTGCCACATGCAGGACAGAGAGGTTCTCTGCAAGCAGGCCTGCAGCAACGCTGGTCACCATTAGCAAAAGGCTCAGAAACCGACCGCCACTTGAATTCTTCCCCCAACTGCAAAAAAAATATCAGCCGGATCACATCACAGAAAGGCCTAGAGGAAATAAAAGCAGCTGGCTTGGGTCTCAGTTCCCTGGGAGGTTTGCTCTGCACACACAGGCGCACGGCTCAGCTGGCTGAGAATTGCAGAGATGGAAATTCAAGAGAGACAGGAGAAGAGCCACAAGAAAAGACCCACCAGGAGAAGCCCACTCGGGGTCTGGTTCCTGGTGACAAGAAGCCCCAGGAGAATCAGAAACCAGAGGGCCACCCAGAGATGAGAGAAAAAGTAAAAGACACCTTGAAAATGTAAGCATTCGGTTTTCCAAGTCAGCAGGAAGCACCATGTGTCCTCGGAGGGAAAAAAAAAGGGGGGTCCTGCCCCAAAAAATGGGGCCTGGGCCATGCTTAGCATGTTCAGAGCGTGCAGAGGAAGGAGCTCGTCTCTAGCAAAGGGCAGCCCAAGCCACGTGATTCAGTGGGCACTCACTTGTCCCTTCCTAAAGCTCGAGGGGAGATGGGAGGCAGGGAAGAGGGAGGGGGAGAATATGCTTCCCCCCCACCCAGGTTTTTTTAAAGCAGTGAATCCTTCCAATGCCAGCCTCGCTGCTCAGAGACCTGCGCTGTGCAGAGAGCAAGAACACGAGCCCGGCAAAGGAAGTCCCGTGGATGCAGCCGGAGCACGTGCTTTGTCATGGGCCCTGCGGCTGCTTTCCACGGTAGCAGCGGCAGGAGGGCCCCAGCACTTACCCAGCCAGCAGCTCCCTCCAATCACTGGGTACGACTGGAGTCCCAGGGCAACACTGGGCAAGGCAAAGCATCGCGATGGTACCCCCCCCCGCCAACGGTACAGCAGTCTCGTCCCCCCAAGCAGAGACGGCAGAACAAACGCCAGCAACACCACGGAGCTAAGCAGCCGAAAGCACGTCCCCATGCCAGGAGGGGGACCCCACGGGAATGTGTGTCACCATCCAGCCTCCACGCCGAATGGGGAGGGGGCCTCTGCCCTCCCACACCCCCGGGCCCGACCATACCCCGCAGTCCTC